TATGGCAACGTTTGCTTTGTTTTGCTTACGTTACTATTTCTCTTACACGGCGAATCGACCAATGATTGCCGCTAAAAATGTCGCATGCCAAATCTAGCTGGGTGGCTCAACATATAGCGCTTTTAAAAACGGAAACTGAAATAACCAGAGAGCATCAGCTGCGGCAATCTCATACTATTAAGCTAGGCAGAAGTGAGTAGTCTTAGTCGATAGATCTCTATTTTAGTATTTTGTCGAAAGCGCGCGTTTTTTCACGAATTTATGTATTACGAATTTATTTGACGATTTTTGATTTATATCACGAATTATACTATAGCACATTTCTAATAGGTTTAACGAATTACATGTCATTTATTTGAATTCAAATTTATTTTAATGACTTAGTATTTACTAAAAAGAAGTAATTTTTTTTTAAAAAAAAGTTTTTTTATGAATTTGAATGATTGTTTTGAATTCTTAGAATTTTGTGCATTTGCAATGTACATAAGTTAGTAGCGAGCGAAGCGAGCTTGGTTTGCAAAGCAAACCATATAAGATTGCGTAGCAATTTTGGGCGGTAGGCGAGCGTTAGCGAGCAGGGGGCGCAGCCCACCAGTAGTGTTATAATAGTACTATACAATAGTTTACTATACAATATTGTTCATTCGTCATTCGGAATCATGAATAATGAATAATTATGCAAAATCTTCCTAAATAATGAATAAAATACTTTTAAACAAAAAAAGTGTGCAAAATACTGTAATTTATTATACCTGCAATTAACTACTAATAAAAAATCGATAGTAATAAAATACTTGTAATCATGATTACAGTTAGTCACAGTAACAAGCAACAATATTTTCTAATAAAAAGTAGTTATGACCGCTTGTTCATAATAATGTATTAAAAGCTAATTTAGTAATCAATAGGTAATAATAAAACTAGATAAAGAACTTCTGATTAATTTATAATAGGGTATGAATAGTTAATTTAGCCCTATTTCCGATAAACTTATGGAAGTGCTTGAATACCAAGCTCCCCCTCCAATTCACCGTTTAGTTTTATTTATTTATTTATTTATTGCCCCTTGATTTTATTAACTACAATAACATACGGAATTGTCAGTATAACGTGCTTGCCGTATTTAATATTCATAAAATAAAGTGCAATAGCAATTTTTTATGTCATTTATAATTCTAAAGTTTGATTTATGAAGTCAAGAGAAAAAATTAACGGCGTGGTAGATGTGTAGTCAACTGAGCATTTTTTTTCCCCCTTTGAAATGTGCGGCAGGTTTACTGAAAGTAGTAGAGTTTATATTTTATAAGGAGGACGATGACAACTTGACCGTTGCCCCCCCCCTCACAAGTTAGCTTTATCTACATAAAGATTTAAAATTGCATGAAGGAATTAAAGTGAAATGATGTTCATTTTTACTTTTCCGTATTGTTAACAGAAATAAGTAAAAATGTCTCTTTAAAACGCCTCTTCCTTTTAATATTTCTCACTCAATTAACAGAAAAAGTTTGCGTCATCCAAAACAAATCGTCCCAATTAGGGAAGGTTAGTAAGTGTTTTAAATCTTTATGGAACGAAATTGGACGAATAGTTCTGAGAAATCGAATTTCACGAGAATTGTATTTTTGAAATTTGATTTCTCAGGAATTATTCGATCTACCTTGTTCAAATAAAACTGCATTCTTAATGATCTAAAAATTTGTATATCTTACAATTTAAATTTTTTTCTATTATTATTAAGTAAAATTACAGAAAATACGAAACAATTATTAAATTTTTTTGGGATGGATTTGTCTTTGGATAAATGAATTTTATAATTGTGAAAAATAATTTTCAATTCGATTAAAAAGCGATATCGAGCGAAAAACTCAAAAAGTATTCGAAACTATTAGGCCCATATTTCTCAGATTGAGGCCAATCCTCATATTTTAAAGGTAAGGAATCCGAATCATTAAAAAAAAGGCATGTTTGTTCTGTAAAAGTACGTTTTTGTGTCTGATTTTGTAAATTAAAATATTGCCTGCACTAATATATGCATGTTTGAAATGCTCCCTTTAAACTGTTCATTTTGAGTCCTTGTACAATCAATGGATCAAAAATTATTCTCTGTGTTTCATTTTTTTCCCTTTTTTTTGCACTATCCAATTAAAATAATTAGTAACAAAACTTTAAAACTATAGCTATAAACTTCTCGCCCTACTACCAAATTCCTTTTTACGAAAAATATAATTTACGAGTTTTTATAGTATCCAAAATTAAATACAAGTTTAAAAATCAAATTTTCTGATAAAATTGTTATGGTAACATGATGAAATTATTTGGTATTGAGTTTATACTTTAACCAAAAGGGATCCGTTTATCGGCAATAAACAAAAATAAAAAAAAAATTGAAAGAAAGAAACTAAAGCAATCGTATGAATTAGTGAAGGAAGCAAAGAAAGCGAAAGAGTCCACTAATAAATAAAGAATATTATAAATACATTGTTTTAAATATGTCTTATCTAACGCTCTGGCTAATTGCTTAATATTATCTGATGATTTAACACTTTGACTAATAAATCTAATATTTTGCTCGAGTGAATAATGAGATAAGTATTAGTTTAAAAAAATACACTTTCATTTTCCCATGTTTAATGTAATCTATTTTTTTAAACTGATACATGCAATTTATGAAAAAATATGAATAGCAACAGTGCAATAATAACTCACCATATGTCAACAAAATGATATGAAGCATAAACGACACAACATTCAGAAACATAGAACTAGCTGGAAATGAAACAGAAAAACGATCCCATTAACTCATGCAGTTGAATACCAGTACAATATACTAGTTACCAGATCGACATTCCTTAAACTTCATACTAATTGTTAATCCTGTTATTTCAAGAACCATTTTTAAAAAGTTTTATTTTTTTCAGCGAAAATGCTACCTAACTGAATGGAATCACTCACAAACAGGTACCGCGTTTTAGGGCAAGTAATAGGATAAACGTTCCAACATGTTTCTATCTATCAGTACATTAACTTGTAAAGAAATAAATAAAAATAATGATAACAAACAAATAAATAATGTAATTTTCTGCTTTCCGAAATTTTTATTTCAATTTAATTGTCCTAATTTACTGCAGTGCTTCTCAAAAGTTCAGGCACGCTTGGAATTCTTCTATCAATTTCAGAATAGTAATACATATTTTTTCTCAGATATTTTACTGTAAATGTATTGAACTGATTTGAGAATATTCAAAGCAAAAGAAAAGCCTCTAAAGCCCCTGTAAGCGCTTTGAAACTAAAAACAAGTCAAATTTTACCAGCGCCGAAATTTTAAACACAAGAGCTAAACGCAGATTAACTCAGATTTTCAATAAATAGTGACAAGTTAGAAAATTATTAAATTTTTGGTTGACATAATGAATCCTTGTGGGATTACTTTTAAGTTTTATTCACAATACCCAGATCAAAGCAGTTCACGCAAGAAAAAAATTTTGGAATTTAGTGGTTAAAATTTCAAAATATATCGATTTATTAAATAATTTGTTCAAAGCGAGATATTAAGCAGAGTTTAAGATCAATGTATAAATTTACAAACCATTTTTAAGATGTGAAAGAAGACCGCGAAAAACGATTCATAGACTAAATAGAATAATTCAAAAGCAGATTCAGTTTCTAACCAAAATCATTCAAAAAATGATATCAAAAATCAAGGAGGCCACATTGTTTCAATAGATCACATTTGTAGACAAACTCATGAAACCGAATGCCGAAAAAGGCGCAAGAAAGTTCGAATTCTTTGTCTTTAACTGCACTATAAACAAGTGAGAATAAATTGAGTCCGCAAATACTTGTAATTCGGCTGCAAATGAATCGATGTATTGTTTGGAGGAAAAAAAAACTGTGTTATTTAGGTGTTTTAGATGGCAATAGTTATTTTTGATAGAACCTAAGAAATAGTCGAAATGATGTACCAGACAACATGGTGCAACGTGGAGGTTTGTATACTTGCTTTTTGGATTATATGGCTAAACCAATTTAGCATTTTTAAGTGATTGTGGAAACTCAACTGACTATAAAAATATACTAGGTAGTCATTTACTATATTTCAGAGATAGATTTAGTGGATCAAAGTGGGTTTTCCAACAAGACAATGCCAGCATACATAAATCTATGGTGAATGAAATTATAGCCAAACCGAAATAAAAATGATGTAACCCTAGAGCAGAACGAATGATATGACATGAACAGCAGGACGTCTTTCGCAATGTGTTAAATAAAGTATATTTTTCAATCAAAAATGTGATGTTCCTTTTAAGAACAAAATGTTCATTTAATTAAACCTTTGGACTATCTAATTAAGATAATCAAGTAATTATCCATAAATTGAAGTCTATGAAACAATGGCTTAAAGCTAAAATTATAACATTTTTAAACTGTTCCCACTGAGTCCTGGTCTAAATTTATAGGAGAGGCTTTGGGTTTTCCATTACGAGCCCTAGGGAAAGCTGTTCTTATCAGTTTTGCAATCGAAAGAATACATTAAAACAATATAGTTGATTATCGACTAAAGAAAATGTGCTAAATCTTGCCCTGTTTGTGAAAAACAGTTCGTTCCATATGATTGAAAACATATTTTATCAAATCAATTATTAAAATTTTGCATTTTATTTTCTCTCGTTAAATATTGTCTCTTGTGTTACTGGTAAAAAAATGTATTCTTATAGTCAATTCGCTATAACTCGAAGTACGATAACTCGAATATTACTATAACTCGATTTTTTTATGACCTTCTCCTATATGTGGCTNNNTTAAAGCAAGAAAAAAAACCTAGGAGCTGATATCTTGCCCCTTCCTTTGCAACACACACACAATGTCTTTCGCACTCTTCATGGAGAAGATAAAGCTGTCCCTCTTGAAGTATGTGAACAATGGTTAAATGAAACGTTACCAAATTTACTTCAAGGATACAGTTAAAATGATGTTTTCAATATTGATGAAATAGGTTTATTTTTTAAATGTCTTCCAAATAGGACTATGATGTTTAAGGATGAAAACTGCTCGGGTAAAATGAGCAAGGAACGTTTGACTGTCCTAGTTGGAGGAAATGCGTCTGGGACAGAGAAATTGCCCTTACTTGTTATCGGAAAAAACCGAAATCCCCGATGTTTCGAGAATGTAAAAACGCATCCTTTGGATTACAAGTCTAACAAAAAGTTTTGGATGGCATCAGTTTTATTTGAAGACTATGTAACAAAATTGGATCGGAAATTCTTCGCTAAAAAAAAGAAAATTTGAAGGCAGTAAACTTGCAGTTTCTCCCGTCAAACACAACAGCAAAGTTGCAACCGATTGACCAGGGTATCATAAAGTGCTTCAAACAGTCTTATCGTAAATGGCTTGTCAGAAAAATGAATAATAAGCATTAATTAAATAATCCGACAATATTTTGAAAGTTCAAAACCGAAACTAACGGTAAGTCGAACTTCCGATATGTCGAAGTTTTTCGTCAGTCCTATGAGATTCGAGTTATCGCGAATTCACCGTATTTAAAAATTTTCGGCTTTAATTTCTTATCTACTAATTTCGTTTTCAGTGGTATTTTTTTCCATCAATTTATAACACATTAAATGAAATTATTTGAAAAAAATATACATTATTTTTGAATTTGTAAAAACATTTTATGTGTACCTAAACTTTTGTTTCAGACTATCATCATTCGAATAGCGGCATTTATGAAACATAGCCGGTATTCATATGAAGCAGATTCGTTTTTCATGCTTAATACAACTCGAATATCATGATAACAGTAAGAGAAATACCTTCATAATCGGCTTCGGATATCGCAAATGGAACATAAGTCCAAAAATTTGACTTCAATTTCTTCAAATCCAATTTCTGTACTGTAGATAAGACATCTGAAATGAAATTAATGAATCAAATATCAAACTAGAAATTAGGAAATAGTGCATGTGAAAATATTGAATAGGTCCTTTTTTACTTGTCAATTTAAAAATTTTAATAGCTTTAGAAATGGCTTCTTTAACTTCAAAAACTGGGGTGAAAAAAGTTTCCACTGTAGTTTCCGAATCTATAAAGTTTTTTTTCGCTGACAAGTACATCTTCCCGCTTAAGTTTCTTGGGATTATTCTTTTCATAACCTTTTTTTTTTTTAATTAACGTAATATTATTTAGAACTGTGCGGAAATTTCAGAGTTTGATAGCAGAAATTAAGTTATATTTTCTAAACACTCATATTTTTAGATTTAAAAACATATCGTGACCTGCTTTAAATTTGCAAAGTGATTCAATAAACCATACCAAAAATTAAACGACAGATCGAGCGAATAAAAAGAATTTAAAAAAATCTCATAAGAACATTAAGTCTCAAATGCTATCCGGTATGGCTGCAAATGACTTGAACAAGATTATTCCTTATCATACTATTCTTACTATATTTCAACGCATGTTGCACACTTAGGATAAATACTATAATGAAAGATGCTTAATGTTATGGCCACATCAGATGCCATACTGGAATACTTATGGAATATTTTTTACAGTTTGGTGAAAACTTTTAGTATTTACCATGACAGTAAACGTGTAACACGTGAGGAAATATTCTAAAAATATAACTACAAAGAATAATTTTTATACGTTGTTTTTAAAAAAAATTTCTGTTTTTAATGGTAAACGAATATTCTGTCAGAACTCCTGATATTCCGATTTATTCGATAAATGTAATAATATGTATAACTTACGACTCCTTTAAGTGTTTAACAGTAACAAATATTTTTATATGTTTGCTCGGTCGTTTTAGTTTGGATCGTCTAGTAGAGCATTCATTTATTCTACCAAATTTTTAAACAAGCCTGTTTTTAAGAGCAAACGATATTTTTTAAGAGTTCCTTGTACTCAGACGCATTCTTCAGTCTTTATACGAATATCTTGTGTTTAATCGTAAAAGATATTTTTATATAAAAATATCTTTTGCTACTAAAAACAGGCTTATTTAAAAACTTGGCAGAATAAACTACTGCTTTATTGGATGATCAAAAATAAAACGACTGTGAAAACATGTCAAAATATCCAGCAATGGAAAGTATAATGCTTTGTGCTGTGTAGGCTAAAGCAAAAAACAACGTGAATAAAGTACGAATGAAAATATACATAAATTGACATACTATAGTTTCTGTTCTATTAACAAGAACTTTCCACGGAGTCTAAACGTCGCGAAATATATTAATATTTTTATTTTATGTCTAGACATTTAAGAAAGTTTTTTAATAGAAATAAAACTATAGTATGTCAATTTATGCATTTTTATTTGAGCTTTATTCTCGTTGTTTTTTGCTTTAGCCTACACAGCACAAAGCATTATCCTTTCCATTGCTGGATATTTTGACATGTTTTCTCTGTCGTTCTATTTTTGATCATCCAATAAAGCAGTAGTTTATTCTGCCAAGTTTTTAAATAAGCCTGTTTTTAGTAGCAAAAGATATTTTTTAAGAATTCCTGGAGTTCCAATTTATTCGAAAGTCTTTGCATAACATGTATAAGTTGCAGCGCCCTTTAGAAACTTCATATAGTATTTGCGACCTATGAGTTCCTATGTGATGATTTATTTATTTATTTTTATATACCTGCTCTGTCATTTCTATTTTGAATCATCTTATAGATCAATACTTTATTCCGAATTAGTTCAGATCAATAATTTAGTTAGTAATAATAGTTTTATAGATCAAAAAAATATTTTGAAACTTTTTTCCGATGTTTCGATGCATTCCAAATTGCCCAACTTTGGTGATGTCACCAAACATTTCTTCCATTAAATATGATTTAAATTGTATAAACTTACCGTCAGAAGGTATCGTCTCGTGTAGCCTATTTAGGGAGAGCCTTATTTCCTCCACACCTCCGAAGGTAACGTTTGATTTCTTTCTAGTTTCGGCTGGACACGATTCATCTTCTGGAGCAGTTTGCGTTGCAACGCTCTCTCTATCTGGAACACTTTCCATTCACTGCTTAACAAAAATGATTATAATAGGACAAGTAATGACTTGAACACGCATAAGACATTATATAATGGGTCACATATTATGCAGGCTATTATTCCGTTTGAACCGCAGATCATTTTACATAGACTTTTAAACAAAAATTATTATATTGGGACGACAAGTAATAACTTAACACTTATAAGAGATTATAGATTAGAGGATTATATAGGATCTAATATAAGGCCATAGATCACTTTCCATATACCGTTAAACAAAAATCATTGCAATATGATAACAAAAAAAATAACTTGGGCATATATAGGACATAATATAGGGCATATATGATATGGGCAATTACATAGGGTCACATATTACTTCAGATGTACTGTTAAAAAATTATTGTAATGGGACGACAAGAAATAACTTGGAAACATAATGCAAAATTTTAATGCTTATCAAAATATCACAACCAAACTTTTTGAAATGAACATAAAAACATTACTTCCTGGGAATTTCTGTTACTCCAATTGCCTTCTTTTAGCTTTGTGACTCCTTTTGGCTTTAATATAGAGCTGTAAATGTGTTATTAAATTTTCTCGCTTTTTAATAATTATCAATGAAAATCTAGCCGAAATATATTAAACAATAATTAATTTTAATATTATATTAACAATTAAGTTTCCGCTATTTCTTTTTTTTTTAATTTTTTAGAAGTTTAAAAAGCATTCAATTTTCTTTGCCATATCCATTGTCGTTTGGCTCGAATTTTCACACAAAAGTTTATTTATTCATTTTTCATCGAACTCAACTGAGCGACTAGAACGAGAAACGCGTTTGAGATTTTAATTTCCATTTTTAAACTTGAAATTACCACTTATGATCGGTTTTCTCAGCTATGGCATCCTTTCCATACGCAGCACAAATGTCACGAGCAGCTTTTGCGGCCTCAGAATCATAACCAAGAACAAGAATAAGGAAAATGCTCATTTTTCTTAATTTGAAATTCCAATTTAATACCTGAAAATTGACATAAATGAGCTCGAAAACATAGATTCCGGTAAAACAAAACAGTAAGAACTTAATTGCTAACCAAATAGTATTCTCTTTACAATTATAAGAAGAGTTATAACACTTAGTGTATGGTTTTTATATGTGTTCATTCTTTTCACCATATTAATTAGCATATTTTAAACAAATGAACTGTGTTTACCTTTTAACCATGTAGTCTATGCAACTAGAATCCTGATAAAACAACGTAATTCAGTATTTCTGATTTTAAAAAAAAAAAATTTATATATCGCTCTAAAAGTATCTCCTTTTTTTTTCCAAGAAAAAATAAAAGAGAATAGATTTTTTTTCTTCCTTTTTTTGTTACAGAGGATACCTCATGACTCATTGGAAAGTCATCCGCATAGATTTCAAAGAAAACATCAATATAAAGGTATCTCAAAGAATTCATATTGTGTTTCAATATATTTTTTTGTTGATGCTCCTCAACAAAAATAAACTTTTTAATTGTTTTTGTTGTTTTTTTTGGCAAATCTGTTCATTCGTTAGAATATTTGGAAAGCTGCGTGTACCATTCGTCTGGCTTTATAATATTTAAATAAAAGTATGAGTTCATGGCAGAGGTCTACAAGCCCTGTCAACCATGGCACCTAAAAAAATTTTTAGATAACGTCCGATATTTTAAAAAGATTTATGTTTTGTAAGAAAAAATAACTAAATAAAAAAAAATCTAAATATTTTCGGGAAAAAAATTTTTTTGTTAAAATATTATCTTTATTGATACATTAAGTTTTTTTTTTAATTTGAAGTCGCAAAGTAATATTCAAGCGACATAAAGTAGTAAAATGCTTCGAAAATCTCTGAAATCATTAGTGAAGGAAACTGAATGTAAAACATTAAAACCAGCAAAAGAAACTTAGATGTGTTTCCAACAATCGCCTTCCTCTCTGCTTCTACCATTAATCAAACAGATGTTCTCTGTCCTCAGTAGAGATTCATTAGGCTTTGGTAGGGTTTTTGTTTTCCGTTTAAATAGTAATTTGTCACCCCTAAGGTGCATTATTGTTTGACCTCATTTCTGATGACGATTCTAAATATATATATATATATATCTTTTATATATAATAAGGGAGAGGAGCTCTAAATATATAAAAATTATCATATTAAGTTCGATTCCCAAATTTTTGAAATCATTGTGCAACAAATTCATGTTATCTAAAAATATATTATCTTAAAATATATTATCTATATTTTGAATTTGAGTAATAAATATTAGTTCTAAAAAAGAAAAATAATTAAAATAGGAAAACACCACAATTTCGAAGACAGAATGAAATTTTAAATATCCTCATGGCTTAATAATAAAAATGTATATCTTCATCTTAAAATCCGAACTATTTTTCTATTAACTGTAAGATTTTTTAGACGCAAAAAAAGCAATTTACTTTTAGTTTTAAGTTTAAGCTGAGTTCATTAAAAATTGTCTATTTATCAAATTTCAAATTTTCAATCAAATTTTCGGCAAATCATTACGCAAAAATTTGTTTTGAACAATATAGTGCCAATGAAACTATCTTGAACTAACTAATACTACAACTAATACAATAGTATTAAGTTGCACTTGAATGGAAAAATGGTTTAGTTTAACACCGTATTGAAATATTATTCAAATAGCTCGCTTTAAAACTTTAAAATATATTCTCAGAGAAATTAGTTTAACGTTCAACTGGTTCAACATGACGGTCTGAAATCGGTTCGGTACACTTTAAGTCATAATTTTATGCAAATTCACAGCCTAATGAGCCATAATTTTATTCACTCGTATTCACATTGTATATTAAAAAGAGAGAAAAGGTAGTCCTAATCTTTCTGAAAATTCCTCCTTCTTGAAAAATTGCAAATGAATAAGCTTAATATTTAGGTAAGCAAAATGGTGAATATTTATAGTATTTTATTTGTATTGGTTTTGAAAAGAAGACCGTTCTTTTCGAAACGTCAAGATACAAATCACAACTTAAAAACATTATCGGGAGCTAAATCCCAAACAGTTACCGTGTATAGAAAAAAAATCAATGAAATGTACATAAACTAAAGATGGAAAACTATAAGAAAGAAATTAAAAAAGCAAAACACTAAAAATTAAATAAAATTACAATGTAACTAGAAAATATCAACCAATAGTAAAAACTTTTATTTTTTATTGATTATATGTGTAATGTGAAGGAGAAAACAATTAAATAAAATGAATTAAATATATGAGTTTTTATTAACATCATAAAAAATTATTTTAGTAAAGTTTGTCAAATGAATTCTAGGGGCTTAATTTTATTTTCGACAAATAATTAAAACAATCTAACTATTGGTTATTAATACCAAAAATACATAAATAACTTGTTTCAAAGTAAAGTTCTTAAAACTTTATTATAATGAATATAATTTGAAATAAGTTCTCTCAACTTTAACTTGACCGATTACAGTTTTACATGAAATATAAATTTAAAAATCGTCTTTCTTATTTAACAACTTTGAAGAGGTAATAAAGGAACACCGTTTTAGTTTTAAGCCCTTCATTTCGAATTATAATTAAAATTAAAATGTCGTAGTAGCAGAGGATAATATAAATATCACTATTAAACACCGATAAATAAGGGCTCTTTAAAAAATTTGCAAGTTTATTTTACTATTATAACTTTTAATTATATGCGGATTAAAATAGAAGATATCTCAGTTAAGTATCATGTGACTTTTCTGTCCAATAAGATCGCGCGAAACTGTAAAACGATAATTATATTTTTGTAATATGTAGATTATATTTTTATAATATGTAGCGATAAATTCTTACACTTTAAATATAGAAAAAAGAAATTATTTACCTAAATACTTGAACCATCAGAAAGCTCAGAAATAAAGAGTTTGTAAGAATTGAATTTAAACTCAGTTCTGAGGTAACTATTGTTATTTAGATGTCACGTGGTTAGATCACGTGGGCCATTGAAATTTGAAGGGTGTAAAATTAACGAATTTTGGATTTCATTTTTCATTGTTCTTTCGCTGATCGAAACATTTTATATGTATAATCGTGTGGATAATGAGAACAATTTTGAAAATTTTCCTTTGTAGACTATCTCTAACGGTTGGTTTTCATGAAGCAATCAGACTATTAGCAAATGAAATACATCTGAATAAAAATAATAAGTAGAAATGGTAAAAAATATTGGCGCCGCTTCTCAAGTGTTTTCTTTTATCTTGCGAAATTCGTATAGAAATTTAAATGGCTGTTAGGTGCATGCAATATGAATATAATAAGAATTTTTAAGAATAGCGTTTTGGTTTTTTTAAATATCAAATCTTTGCTTTCATATTTTTTCTTCCGTTAACGTTTTTGAGAATTACGTAGAGTGATCAAGAAAGCAAAAACACATTGATCGCCCGTTACTACCTGAATAATAATAATTTTTGCGTACAATTTTAACACTAAACTGCATGATTTCCTTTTTCAATTTTTTTTTCTTTTTTTTTTGAATTTTAAAAAATTGTTTTTTATATGAATGTTGTCATAGGTTACGTAAAAAATAAATTTAAAAAAATCCAGTTATTAGTATTAAGTAAGCAGAGTTGGCCGTTGATTACAGTAATCGATTACAACTGTAATTGATTACAGATAATTACAGCTATGTAATCAATTACTTGTAAATCACGATTACAAGTAATCAATTACTTGTAATCGTGATTACAACTTTCAAAAAATTTTAATTACGTTACAAAATTAATT